ACAAATACTCAAACCTATATAATGGAAATTGGGTGGTAAATTTCATTGCAATATAAAATACCCAACAACATAACAGGCCTCTGTTATGGTAGTCATTCAATTCACAGAGAAACTGTAAAAACTTAATTTTAAAAAGCAAGAAAAATCCAGTGCACATACTTATATATAGATGTATTTGTTTACCTGCTTAACAAAATTGACAGTAGGAAGCTTCTTTTGCATGTTACAATGACATGTGTTAAAGGTATACTTCTTTCGAACCAAACATTTACCCTTCGCCACTGGTGAAAGGCAACAAGATCTCTTTACAAAATCTCGTCTTTTTCAATAAATTTTGCATGAAAACATGTTATCCTGGCACAAAGTTGCCTGCTGTCACATTCGAAGTGTGATAAATGTTTAATGAAAACAACACCACACAGCTTGGTGTCAGACAACAGCTATCACACAGCCCTGCTTTGATCCAAACAGACACTTAAAAGGAGTTCTAAGCACACACTGCACCACAGAACTCTATAACCTATATGCAAATAGGGGTAAATTAGCATAAATGACTTCCTGCTGCATAAAGAAATAAGGGGTAAGGAAAAATATGACAGGCTCCAAGAGTATGTAACTGCTGTCAAAACTCAAGGGTCCAGCATTCCCAAATCACAACATCTTCTGCCAAGAACTTGGTAAAAAAACAACAACCCATCAACAGGAATTTATTACATGAAACTCGACAACTGAAGACACTGGGACACTGGCAAGGGCAAAGCCATAACTAATATATCTATAAAGTATGACTGCTACATGGTACTGGACTTCTTATGCACACTGCTTCTAATACTTATAGTTTTGAAATATCTTTATCCCCATTTAACAGAAGAATAAATCAAGACTCAAAGAGAATAACTTGTCCTGTAAGGAAAAAAACTGTGAATAACTTAAAAAGAGCAAAAACTGTAATTTTTGCAATTTAACTTTCCCAAAATGCAAACACCTTAGCACACTTTTTAAAAAGATATACTATTCAAATCAGGTATATGTTCAAAGGTAGCAATTCCTATGAACAAAAGTATATGTTGCCTCTGTTGGTATCCTTTCTGCATTTTTAGTCTATAAAGACATACCTAAAATAGCTGTGATATACCTAATATCTAATTACATTGCATAGTCAACATTTTAATGGAAGATTTCATAAATAGGTAACTACAGGCTGTGGGCTATATTTGAAGCCCAAATTCACTGCTATCCCAGTGGCTTCTATACATATCCTCAGAAGGATTTAAAGACAATTGATTTAGTGGAAGTTACATTTCAGTATAAGAAATTCTATTTAAATATATTCCCCTCCCATACCCACCAAAAAGAACTACTTCAGTTGTCAGGATACGGATATGTATGTCCAGGGGGGAATTCTTACCTCTCTCTTAAAATTACAAAGCTTTAGAAAGTTATCCAAAGAAAGAAAAGTATAAACTCAACTGTCTGAGCAAAATATTCCAGAAGTCTTGATGGGTACATTTCTGAGAACAGTATCCATCTACTGAAAAGCTAATATGGGAATAATAAATGTTCGATGCTTATTATTACTATGTGCACTGAAAGTAAAGCATTTTGTTCATACCTCATATAGTAATGATCATATCACTACTCTATCTGAAACTTCATTGGCTTCTCACTGCCTTTAGAAGTAACCCTAAACTAGCTGACATAACTTATAAGATATTCCAATAATCATCTCTCCTCATTATTTCTCTTCTACTCTAAACCAAGCTCCATAAGACTTCAGTTCCTTAAATATGCCATACCTACCTTGCTTGCCTCCAAGGCTTTTCATATGAAGTACATTGTGCATGCAACATTCTTTCCTGTCTTTCTTCCTTCAATGTATAAACGTCTCTCCTTTTGAGCCCCGCTCTGATGTACTGACTACTCTAGATCAACCAACTTAACGTTCATGGAATTATCTTTCAACCAGAATGTGTCAAGACTGAAGATGGAAGCCAACATGCTGAGACAGGCCTGTCAGAAGGATAAAAAGGGCCTGGATCAACTTATCTCCAAACTCTTCGTTATTTTAACAATAAGTGTACTCATGGCTTAAACCAGATGTTGACAAACTACAACCCTTGGGCCAAATCTAGCCAACTGTCTATTTTTGTAAATAGGTTTTATTGGAACACAGCCATGATGTTCATTTAGTATTATCTATGACTGTTTTTGTGCTAAAAGGGCAGAGTTCAATACCTGCAATAGAGACATGTGGCCCAGAAAGCCTAAATTATTTACTATCTAGCCCTATACAAAAAATTTTGCGGTCCCTGGTTTTGTTACTTATGGCCAAAGCACCCTAACTCATATGATGTTACTGTACTTATATATCTTCCCTTCTATGTATGTTTATTTATGTCACCTGCATGAAATCCTCAAGTAGGATGCACCTAGCATTATGTACCTATTATCTAACAGTACTTGACAAATAGAAGGCATTTAAATACTGCTGACTCAACATGTGAACAAATGAATGAATGAGCATATCCGATGAATAACTAATAAATATTTATTAACAACTAACATGTACATTAAGTACTCTAATACAAAAGAGTATAAGACATATTTTCTGCCCTGAATGGCTTAAAACTTGGGTTTAGGAAATAGACACAAGGTTTTTAAAAAGGATAAATTATTTTTGGAGCAAAGCAGCTGTATCTGTACATATATAGATATTACCATATTAAATATATACACTGACACCACCCCCCCACACACACACAAAATCCTGACTTCAGGTCATACCAAAAGGTATGAATTTGTGTGTCCTCAGCACTAATCAAGAGAGAGGGCACCCTGACATAGCACCACCCTGTACAATGGTCTACTAAAATTATGGAGATGACCGAATAAGACTACTCACAGCTTTTTGGCATCAGTACCCAGAACCCTTCAACTGAACCCTCTTGTTTGGACCTTGTTCACTCCCTTTGCTGAGATGTAAGAAATAATGATGAATACAACATTATGATTTTGTGAGCTTGCTATCCAGGAATCAGTCCCTTGAACACCATCAATTCTGAGTGGAAAAAGAGTCTAACCTGTAAAGCGGGCCCAGATCCCCAAGATTAATGTCACCATCACCATATTGAGAACCTTCCCTGAAACCACCTGACCTCCATTTTTTAGTCACACTCTAATTTTTCTTACCTTTAAAATTCACAAAATAATGCTTTATGTAACATCAATTTTACAAAACTGTGCAAATATTACTCTAAAAAATTAAAAGTTGGTGAGATGAAAAGCAAAAGTTTACTGACCACTAAAAATCATAGTCATACTTCTCATAGTCAAGTAACATATCTAACGTGTAAATCAAAAGGGAAAAAAAGGAATGAGAGGAAAGGCAGTTCCTTGGTTGACATAATTTATTCACCCTTTTAGTCCACTATTTTCCAGTCTCAGAAACCTACTCTACATCTTCTCTTCAAATCTATCATCCTCTCAACTTTCTCCCTTAACAACAGATTTCCCCCATACTCTCTCTGATCCTCATTCCATTCTACCACCTCTGGTTAACTCAGTCTCCCTATCCTTGTAGCCAGATTTCCAACCCTATCTCTTCCCTATAACATTAAACAATCCTTAAAACTCAAAGGACAGAACTCAGAATTTTGCAGGATGACAACTACTCAATTTATTGTTTTTTAAAAAAATATATCTTTATTGATTTCAGAGAGAGGAAGGGAGAGGGAGAGAGAGAGTCATTGATGGGCTGCCTCCTACATACCTAACACTGGGAATCGATCCCGCAACCTGGGCATGTGCCCTGACCAGGAATCGAGCCACAATCTCCTGGATCATAGGTCGATACTCAACTGCTGAGCCAGGCAACAACAACTACTCAATTTGTATTAATGGCTGTGGGGTGATAAGGTACATAATAATGTTATCCTCTTCCAAAACCCACCACAAATTTATTAATAATTTCAACAAACATTTAAAAGTGAACAATTTAGGCAGGTTTATATAATATCAATGTAAATCTGGAAATAAAAAATAAACACAGAGACAACTGGGAAAAGAAAAGGATTAGAGAAGAGATCCATATCTTTTAATATACTTAATTCTTCATAGAATCAAGATCTCAAAAAACTATATCCACGATGCTGGTAAACTCTTCAAATTAACAATGAAATCTGGTACATTAAAAACAAACACTTTTGATTCAAGTATTAAAGTGAATATATGTAAGGTGTTGAAAGATTGACCAAAGGGGTTAAATTCCAAGATACTTTACTTTACAGAATAAAAGATTCCAGCATCAGTTTTGAATAAAACAAATAAAAAGCTGTAATTTAAGCTACTAATCAAAACTTACTATTTCATTTTAACAGCTTCTAATAAACAGTTATGAGTGAATTTCACCCTCCAAATGGAGAGCTAGAATAATTATTTCAATAATATCAATTCCAGAAAAAATAAATTCTGGGTCTTGCATGGACATGCACTCACTCTAACATACACATACACCTTAATATTGACCAAGTCCCCATTGTATGTTAAAAAAGGCCTAACCGATAGTAAATCAAATTGTTTATTCCCTTTGTTTCACCTTTACTCATTTCCCTTAACATCTTTACAATAATGTAATAGACATCTTTAATCAATCAGTAGTCTCCAAATTTTAAATTCAGATTCATGATAAATAAAACTGAAGTAGAACTTTCCCAAAGAATTATGTAAATTTTCCTTTACTGATATACTAAGCTTTGACAGTGCTATTTATTTTTTGTTTCTAAGATTTGTTACATAAGTATAAAATAAAAACAGGAATAGAAAACAAAGTAAAAATTTGAGAGAACAATCTTGATTTACCCCTTCTTCTTTTGCTATTATATGCTCCTCTTTGTTCCACATAAAAAAACCTTCAAGAATGAAAATTTAGTTTGAACACTGCCATGGAACCAGAGTCAACACTGCTTAAGATTTACTTAACGTCCATGGAAAAAGCAACTTACCCACGTTTGATGTTGTGTGATTCTTTATCCTTGCCTTTCTCTTTCTCCCTTTCTCTTTTCTCCTTATCTCTGCCTTTACGTCGTTCTCTATCCCGAGATCGACTACGGGTTCTTCTGTGACTGGACCTTTCACTGCTTCGACTATGGGAACGTAGACGAGGTCTTGACCTGGACCTACAGTAAGTAGATTTTATTAAATACATTTGGTTTATATTTTGTATTATGAAATTAATATATCCTTAAAAATTATCTGAAAGAAAACGGCTTAGTTTCAGTTGTGGATTCAGTAATTAAATAACTATGTGAAGCAAGCATCTAAATGTGATTATTTTAAGTACTCTCAGTTAAAATTATATATGAGGAATATATATGTTGTCAACTTTATAGAAATTAAAGTTTAGTAAAATGTGTTTGCAAGTAAAACTCTTAAAGGTTCAAATCAAGTCTTAATTACTCAAATCTCCTCAGATAATATAACAGATCTAAATGTATCTAATCTAATATTCAAGTATAGAGTCTTCCTTATCCCTACAATCTCTACTTCTCTATAAATAAAGTCAATTTTATTTCTTATTCTAATTGTTACAATAAAACTATTCCTCTACTCTAATCCAGCTATTCTTTGTATTAAATGAATGAGAGTATTAGGTAGGATGTACCACGTGCTTGTAAAAAGTAAAAACTTCAAACTTCAGCCCTAGTCAGTTTGGCTCCATGGTCAGAGCATCAGTCCATGGACTGAAGGGTCTTGGGTTTGACTCCAGTCAAGGGCATGTACCTCAGTTGCAGAGGCTCAATCCCTGGCCCCATCAGGGTGTGTATGGGGGCAGCCAATCAATGTGTCCCTCTCGCATTGATGTTTCTCTCTCTCTCTCTCTCTCTCTCTCTCTTACTCACTCTTGGAAAAGCAATGGAAAAAATATCCTTTGGGTGAGGATTAAAAAAAAAAAAAGTAAAAACTTTAGGTCCTGCCTCACAGTATTGATGAGAAAGCCTGTATCAAACTGATGACCTTGCAGATAACTATAAAAAGCAACTATGTGAAGGTACTGGATAGTGACCAAAAGAAGACAGATTCTATAGGCAGCCAACACTTAGAAAAAGAAAACAGCAATGAGAAAGTTTCCCATTTTATCAGCTTCTTTTCTGAGGAAAAGCCCAAGTCTGTGCTATGCAGGACAGCTATAACTCCAACAAAAAACTTCTGGCCTGAAAAAACAGAAGAAACACCAAGGGAAACAACTGCAAAGAAATTTAAGAGAAACCTTGGAAAGGAGTCCGAGGAAGGACGTAAAATTCTGTATGTAAACTCTATTCAACTCTCTGGCCGAACCCTACATTGTGCACATATAAAGGGCAGACTTCAAATAGCTAAAGATAAAATAAAATTGAACTAAAATATCAACTGCCCCCCAGGAGACAGGATTTTTACGATTTTAATTTAACTAAGTTAATTTTTCTGCTAAAACAAACAAGGGGACGAAAGAAAAATCAATATTCTTCAGAGGAATATAACAGAATCCAGAGTATTCAAAACATGACATTCATCATGTCCAGGATAAAAATTACTAGATATACAATAAAACATTAAAGATGGGAACCATTCTCAAGACAAAAAACAGTCAATGGAGACCAACCCTGAAATGAATCAGATGATGGAAATAGCAAGCAAAGATTTTAAAGTAGTAAGTATAACTATGCTTGTAATGAATATAAAGCTAAAAAATATCAGCAGAAAAATTAGAAGAAAAACCATAGAAATTCTATAACTAAAAACATACAATATCTGAAATTATAATTATGCCCAATGAGATTTAAAGCAGATTGGTAACAACAAAGAAAAAAACATCTGTGTACTTAAAAATAAATCAATTGAATTTATCTAACCTGAAGAGGTAAGAAGAAATTGATTGCTAATAAGAAAAGAAAAACAGATCCTCTTGGATCTGTGTGATAATATTTAAACGTGTCAAACACGTCTATTTAAACCCAGAAGTAGAGAAAATGATGACACAGAAAGCAAAAATTTTAAGTAGTGGTCAAAATTTCCCCAAATTTAGTGAAAGACAATGTATAGATTCTAGAGGTTTATTTAACTCCAAGATAAATATGAAGACCATGACTAGTAACATCATAGTTAAACTGATGAAACAAAAAGTAAAAAGGTGTCTTGAAAGTATTCAAGAAATATAAAACAAAACAACACATTACAGGCTGAAGAGCAATGATGAATAACTGCTGGCTTCTCATCAGAAACAATGGAGCCCAGCCGGGTGTGGCTCAGTGGTTGAGCTTCAACCTAGGATCCAGGCCATCGGGGTTCGATATCCGGTCGGGGCACATGCCCAGGTTGTGGGTTTGATCAATGACTCTCTCCTCATTGATGTTTCTATCNATATCCGGTCGGGGCACATGCCCAGGTTGTGGGTTTGATCAATGACTCTCTCCTCATTGATGTTTCTATCTCTCTCTCTCCCTCGCCTTTTCTCTCTCTGAAATCAATAAAGATGTCAAAAAAAAAAAGAAACAATGGAGATCAGAAAACAGTGGAACAAAATTCTTACCATGGTAAAAAAAAAACAAAAAAATTTATAACCAGCAAAAATATGTCTCAAAAGTTAAAGTAAAGTAAAGACACTTTTTAGATAAAGGAAAAGAAAAACGTAATAATCAATAATAGATCTGCATTATAATACATACCAAAATAAACTCTTCAAGCTGAAGAAAATGGTAACAAAGGGAGACTTTAATTTTTAAGAAGGAATGAACGCTACTAGAAATGGTAAAAAGAAACCAAAAAAACTACTTCCCTTAAATTATTTAAATACATATGTATTTATATTTAAAGTAAAATTTACAATGTCTTACTGAAGGGTTATAATGAAGGTAGATATAATATATATACAACCTCTATAGAATAAAGTATGGGGCAGGTAAGAACCTATACAGTTACAAGGTTTCTACATTTCATCAGGATGATGAAACAGTAACTCTAAATACATTTAAATGATAAGGGCATATATGAAATCCTTAGAGCAACCACGTCAGGACAAAAATGCAAATAAGTATAGCTTAAAATCCAAAAAATGAACTAAAGAGAATTCTTTAAAATATTCATTAATCCAAAAAGAGGCTGTTAAGGACAAACAAACAAAAACCCAAAACAGAGGCTCAAAAATAAAACAAATAAAATCATAGACTTAAATCCAAACATATCAATAAATACATTAAGTATTAATGAACTAAATAATTAAAAAGCAGAGCTTGTCCAAATGAATTAAAAAGACAACTAGATGCTGTCTTCGAGATATTTTCTTTAAATATACAGCCACAGATAGGTTGAAAGTAAATGGCTAAAAATAGATATATCATGTAAACAGTAAACACAGGAAGGCTAGAATGAATACAGAAAATCAGATAAACTAGGCTTCAGAAACTAAGAGTACCACCCAAAATAAAAACTGATATTTCATGATGACCAAAGGGTCAATTCGTAAGTAAAATCACACAAAATATGTTTATCTGACCACAGCAGAATTAAATTAGAATTCAATAAAAAGAAAAAAAATCTAGAAAAAATACCAAATATACAAAAAATAAATAAAAATATAAATAATTCATGAACCAGTAAGCAATTACAATAAAAATTTTTTAAATTTTAAACTAAATGACAATGAAAATACAATATAGGAGAATTTGTGGGATGCAGACATGTTTAACAGTATAATTTACAGCTTTAAATGTTTATATTAGAAAAGAAGGTATAAAATCAATTACCTAAGGTGCTACATTAAGAAGCTAGAAAAAGAAGAGCAAAGTAAACACAAGGTAAGTAGGAGGAAGGAAACATTAAAGAGCAAAAAAAAAATGGAATAGAAAGCAGTAAGGAAAATTAGCAAAGCCAAAATCTGATTCTCTGGGAATATTAACAAATTTTGGTAAATACCTAGCTGGACTGATCAAGCAAAACAGAAAAGAGCAAGCACAAAGTAGCAAAAATTAAGAATGTAGGTGTGATAGAAAGATCATATGAACTACGTCTGGGTACTTAGGATATATGTGGTCCGGGAGAAAATTAAATGGGTTTTGGTGGTAGTAACGTCTGTCCTCTTTCATCCCTAACTGGTTCACTCAGTAAATGAAGAGCAATACTGTATCATAAAATCACAAAAAAATGTTTTTTAATCTTCACCCAAGGATATTTTTTCCATTGCTTTTCAGAGAGAGTGGAAAGGAGAGAGATAGAGAGAGAGAGACACATAGATGTGAAAGAGATACATCGATTGGTTGCCTCCCGCATGGGGATCGAGCCTGTAAATGAGGTACATGCCCTTGGCCGGAATCGAACCCAGGACCCTTCAATCTGCAGGCTGACTCTCTAACCACTAAGCCCAACTGGCTAGGGCCACAAACATTTTTTTAAATGTAATTTTGAGAACTTACAATATTTATTGCTAGGAATGTCATTATGAGCTTATTATCTTAATTTACAAAAATTAAATTTCTATCTTTTTTTTCTTTACTCCCTCTCTTAAATTTGATACATGACTTTTTCCCACATGAAGTTTTAATAAACATAAAAACAAACTCATAGATACAGACAACAGAATGGTGGTAACCAGAAGGGAAGGGGTATGGGAGGGTTGGGGGAGGCAAAAAGAATAAAAGGTGTCAAATATATGGTGAAAGGAGACTAGGCTTCAGGTGGTGATCACACAACAAAGTATACCAATGTCTTATTATAAAGTTATACATCTGAAATTTATATAATGTTATTAACCAATGTTATCCCAATACATTTAATTTAAAAATAAAATTTTAATTTATCACCACCTTATTCATTTGTAATTAAATCTTATATTACATGTGGATATATTAAAATTTTAACACATTATTCTAAAATCTTTGAACAATAATCAGTCAGAATTTAAAGTTTTCTGAAGTTTATATATAGTAGCTAAGGTTATCACAACAAAGACCACCCTTCAATTTTAAGGTAATATATTGTATGTATAGATACACATAATATGATTCTGACAATTAGTTTTCACTTAGCTAATGAAAATGTAGAGTAACAAAAAACAAGTAAGTTAAATTTAGTTTAAACTCTAACAACAAAACTCAAAGAACTTTTTTACATTAAAAATAAATCTTTAAATGTAAGCATACTTCGT